AGAATTCCCTAGCCAGCCATGCTGGCTTTGGAATTCTGGGAATTGAAGTCCACTCATCTTAAAGTGGCCAAGTTTGGACAACACTGCCCTAGATGGTTCCAGACCTGGTTATCTGAGAGAATCCCTTTTCCTATATTCATCTACCCATTCAATCAGATTGAACAGTGCCAGCTCCCTCCAGGTCCCACCTATCTGAGAATACCATCTGATGGGATGGAGGAAAGGAGCATTTTCAGAAGATGCCTCTCTGCTTTGGAACTCTCTCTCTAAGGACATCCATTCCACCTCTTCCCTCCTGGGTTTCAGGAGGGCAGTTGAGACCTGGTTTTGCCATCTAGCCAAGAAGAAAAGCTTGTTAAGAATGTGAGGGATGTATTTGCAGACACATGACTTTGTATGTTTTCCTTTGTCACTTAAAATGTCATTGGGATTTTTTAAAATTATTATTTTATGGAGTGCCTTTCTTTTGAGCTGTATGTGTATGCTCTTTTTATGATGTTTTTAATTGTTAGCTGCTCAGATCCTTTGGGAATGGCTGCTATAAATAAATACTGAACTTTCAACAGATGCCAGAATAATGGTTTAATTTTATTGGATCTTAATATGGAAATGTTGAGATGAATGTTTCAGTTTAATTTTGAGTGACACAAGCATTATCATTCTAGTGCTAGTAGTAAAAGTGTAAAATCTCTTAAAATCTTCTGTTACAATATTAATAACCTGATTTCACTATGCTGGAAGAGAGAGAAAGAAAAAAAAACGAGATTCCCAGTTCCCTGTACAGTATGTGCTGCTACAGAACATCTCCCATTCACAGGCATCTGCTAATTAGCCTGTGTGTTCATGCTTAGAATGGACCTTTTCTAGCAGTCTGGTGCATACAGTACATGGGTTTATGCGCTATGCTTCAACCAAGTGGGAAAGAGCTGCTCCTCAGGTTGGGGGGAAATTGTTCAAACAACTATTCAGCTCCAGACTTTAATCCAACATGTGGACATTTGTTAAAAAGCAAACAAACAAAAAATCCCCTCTCTGTAGATGGGCCATGATATACTGCAAAAGATGAATGGATGGAAAAATAATATTTGCCAAATAAGGCTTAAAAGGGGGCAGTGCAGAGGATGTTGGGAAATGGTACATAATGAAGGTGCAAAATGGACAGACAGATATAGAGAAGGGAAAGAAATAGAACATAGATAATTACAGTGTCTTGTTTCAGAGAAGAAGACATAGACCCTCACTTCCTGATCTGACATGGATGTAAGAACAAAAATTATACTGAAAGAGAGTTTAAAATGCCTTGATAAGACATCAAACAAATGAGCAAACCAAGCACAAGAAGAAAATTTTCAGCCCACTATTAGACAAAACCCATGTTGGCAGGGATTTAACCCTGTTCCTCAGGAAATTACTGCTATTTGAATTAAAATGGATTAACTGGGCAAAAGCCATACTATGGAAATTAAATAGATATCATTAAGTAGAATATAATGAGAGGTGCCTTGATTAATCAATTTACAGATACCCTCATGTATTGGTTGACATCCTGTGTGTCTCTGCAACTCTCTGCATTCTGCATTTCTCTAAGAACAGCTCGCTTTAACTTACTGGAGGAAGTATCCAAACAAAGAGTTGCTGGTCCTGTGCAGTGATTCCAGTGCATTATTCTTATTCATGGAGATCTTTCAATCATCTTCTGTCTTTTGGTTCTTGACCCAAAGTATCAGAATAATGTCATATCCAAGCTCCTTTGTAACATTGTCCTGCTTGTATTTTCACCATATATAAAATAATTGTCTTGTCATTTTAAATTCTTTCTCTGGTGTACATTTGATCTAGTTGTTAGTATTTGACATAGGTATGTTGACATTGTTTATTATTTGTTCAAATACAGATTCTGTGGAATTTATATATCTAGATAGCATAGGATATGACCCAAATATTTATTCATATCATAGTGAAATTTCAGGCAACAGATTTCTACATACAACTTCAGAGTAAAGTCCAGTCCAAGTTCCGTAGAATTTACTTTTGAAATAATGATAGGCATTGTTTGATTGGATTGTGCTGTCAATCTCTCTCCCTGTGTATATCTAATTTGTCTCAGCTGAAGTCCCTTTCTGATAGTTATAAGTACATTCTTGCAATACTTAATGTTAATCACATGGAGAAAATATATTTAAAGTTGCTCTAAAAAAAGTATGTTGTTTTATTTGAAATAAATCAATTATTTATTGCCAATCTCTGTGTATGTGAATCAGCTAGGATTTTATTCCAATCTGAATTTTGAGATTGAAAGACAACACAGCTCTAATCAAATTGATTTGAGATTTGATAAAAGATTGACAGGGATGAGGAAAGCAAAGCAGGAAAGCTGCTTTATTTCATGCAAATTAGGAAGTAAAAGCAGAGGTAGTAGATTCAGTGGCTGGCTGGGGAATTCTGGGAGTTGAAGTCCACCCATCTTAAAGTTACTGAGCTTGAGGAATCCTGCTTTAGAGAACATTAATCTTCCATTTCAGTTGGATAGTTCCAGGGTGTTTTCTCCCACATCTGTTTTAACACAAAGATAACAAGAATGTTAAAAGGACAGCAGCCCCTGAATTGTCCCGGCATGGGCCCTATAGTAAACTGTTCCTGAACCAATCTGGAAAGTATCCTACTTCAATTTAAAAATAGAAACTTTTCAAAAATCAAGCTCCTACTAAAGAGTGAAGAATCCACGATCTCTGAGCAACCACTCTGATAAAAAGCTGCCACAAAAATATGAGATTCTGCAAAGCCAGAAAGTCCTTCAAATTTTCAAATCACTTCCAAATATTTCAGAAGCAATTCAAAAATGTTGATTTGAATGGATGATTTGACCACCTTTTCTTTGAATTAAATAATTCAGTCAAAGCTTCATATAGCCTAATACACACTGTCACAAACATCAATCTATAGTTTAGAGTTTGTACTATTATTTGCATTGCAACTGGATATTTACATTGTACCTGTGGCTAGTTCAGATATTTTTTGACCAGTATAGTTAGAGGATTAATTTCCTCTTTATAAGCCAATACAATCACTAAAATAATCTAGAGGGATCCTACTTAGGGTATCATGAATTATTGAGTGACATCTCCAGTAGAATTATCAAATAGCCCTTTTCAACTTTGGTTCTTGATCTTTGGAAGCCTCTTCTTCTCACTAGTAATCAAGGGCACCTAGTTTTACATAATTAAAATCTCCCACTGAAGCTCTATCTTTTTTCCCAAGCAATGCAGACAGCCTTATTGTTATTCAATTCCATTTTTACTATACTTATTTTATATCAACATTTTTAACAGTTGTTTTATTTTAAATGAATAGTACACCATTTTAAGATGTTTTACAGGAAGCAAGATATAAATATACATAATAGAAAATGTTAGTTTTTCCATCCGTAATGATTATTTAAATTAAAGGGCATTATTATTGTTATAATAAAAGATAATGAGTGGGAATAAAATTTGTTAGAGGTTATTACTGTCAAACCTCATTTTAACAGACTGGGGGGAGGGGGTCCATTTCTCATGAATGTCCATTAAATATGAAAATGTGTCATCATGGCAATGTATGTCATTTGTGTAATGACATCATGATGCAATTGCAGAGGATGTTGCAAAATTAAGTTAAAATTAATATATATTTAACTGCCTTGTCCAGATTACTTTAGATGCACCAGGCACCTCTTATTTCAGAGAGATGTCCAGGCAGTTATTTGAACCACTGAACCTGAAGTTCATTAAATGGGGTCTATTAAGTCAAAGTTTCACTGTATATGAATATGGATCCAGGAAGGAAGAAAGGTCCAATAAAGACTACATCTAATATTTTCTTTTAAAATTTTAGAAGAAAAACTAGGATGAATCAAAAGCTTATACATACCTATATGTATACATACCCATCATGCTATTCCATTTTGTGGTGAGCAACTTTATGCAGAGTGAAGAAACAGAGTAAGATGTGCTAAGCCAAAGAAATTAAAAGCATAAGATTTTTTTAAAAAACAAAACATTGTTAAAACTGGCTTTCACCAAACATTCACAATACCATCCATGCCTTTCTGTCCTTGCAAACTATCCTAGCTTCCACCACATCCATACAGTGAGTCTTGTTCTTTGAACTCCTCACTTCTTTCTTTTGAGGATTTTGTGAATTCACTTTCATGCTTCTCCTTTCTCTTGACTTATTCAGTCTTCTTTCATGTATTTGTTTTGTGATTCAGTCCTCATCTGACCAAACTATTTCAGTGTTCTTCTTTCATACTGGTCACTCACATTTGTATTCAGATTCATCTAGCACCCATTCATTCTTAACCTATATCTTCATTTTTAGTGCATGCACACACTTCTTAAGTAATTCATTCCATTCAGTTTACTTCTATGTTTCTCCTGACATACCCTACTCTCACTTCCATATAAGTATGCGGAAGCATGTTCTTATACATAGCTATAAGAACATGCTTCCACCTTTCAACAAACATTCATTCTTTGCAATAGACCACAAACTACCCATTACCTTTCTACCAGCATTTGCATGTCTCAAAATTTCTCCATTCATTTCCCCATCTTTAGTAAACATTCTACATAACTACCTTCAACTTTGATAGATTAATTTTAAAGCCATGCCCTGATTGCATCATACAATCTAACTTTTGCTTCAAATCATTCAGATTATCAGCCAACAACGGCCACATCTTTTCCTTACAAAAGTCCATGTGTGCTTTACTTCCCAAATCAACACCAAAACACCACTACAAACATTCCTTATACATTTATCTATGAATACATTAAACAACCAAGAGAATATTGCACATTTGGAGGGCCATAGGATCTCCACCCCTGTTTTAAGACTTCCAAGCAAGTACCTTAAAAATATTCCTTTTTTTCCCCCATGGACAAATAACAGCATTGTATACCTGCTTGGTAGAAGCAGACTGACAGCTTTAGCATTTAAGTGAGCACAATATTGACTGATATTGTGAGGAATGCCTCAGCCCTCCTATTATTACCCTCAGTATGCTGTTGTTTTTATCTAGCCAACAGCTCAAATCAAAATAAGCTTATGGAGGAGTCAGTAACAAGCAACTAGCATTCACACCAATCAATTTGTAGGGAGGTGGGGAAAGGAACACCAAGCTCTGCTTCTTCCTTTACAGTTGATGCTTTGTTGAGAAGCCATGTGAGCAATCCCCACGAGCATATACTGTTCATCCAGTCATGTTTCCAATGAGTAGCTGGCCACTGCTTCTACACGTGAGTGCCCATAGCTCCTGATCCTATACGTTTACTCCATAGAGAAGAAATAATAGCAAATATTTGCCAGTAGTATTTGATAATATTTATTTGACTGTATGTAACTCAGAGCAATTCAAGTTCAAAAGGACAGGAAATATTTGTTGCCTAGTACATATGGTTTTGTTAAAGATTAAACAAACTGTAAATCAATACAGGGTGCTTCATTAGTGAAGCCATAATATTTTGAATATCATAGCTTCGCTTTTAGCTGAAATGATACAAAGGATTTAACTCTTCAAATAAATACACTGAGTGCTGATTAGGATGGATTAGCATGGATCTGAATAAGAGGTAGACGACTTTCTTGTATGTGTAGTAAGTTTTTTTCTACCATGTAAAGGATCAGTTTCCAGGAGTGAACACAATGCACTTAATGCCAACTGACAATTCTGTATGAATCACAGCTCCATTGCACTGTGATTGTATGGTTACTTATGCAATTTCAAAGCCTTTGGACAGAACTTAGCCTCCATCACTTCAGTGCCAACTCAGGTTATGTGAGTCCCAAACCTTTACTTACTCTGCTTCACAAAATAAAAGCTTCCCAAGACATTTCTGTGCTATAAGCATCCTTTATTGTAACAAGACACCTCATGAAGATACTAGTTGCTAAATATTTGACTCTCTTCTTTCCACTGCCATTCCAATTCTCTGTTCTTATGGTGGGTGGGTGTGGTGGGGGGGAATATGTATGCACACCTGTTATACAGGGACATAATATCAGGTGGAATTGGCCATAATGCAAATATCTAATTAGGGATATTTCCACTTCTGTTGCCCGAATAGACTTCTCTGGAGAGATAGCCAGGAAGAAACATAGCAGAGAGAGTACTGATAGACTCCTACTAATCCCTGAGGCCACTGTATGTGAGGACAGGGAAGCTGCGTTACCTGTCACCTGCTTGGCAGAGATGAGGGCAGGGTTTGTTCAAGCAAGTGCAGAACTTGTTGTTTACTTAACAAGGTTGGCAGCTGCTGCCTCAGAGCAATTAAAAGATACATTCAAGAAGAGGTTGCCAGGTGCTCTCCTGGCTGTCCTATCTGCTGTTACAAGTGGGGCAAAATTTCATGTAAATACTTGCCCAGCATCCCAGGCAAACCTGAGCTAATGGGAGGTTATATACCTGCCATTAAGCCATTTGTAGGCTTAGCTGACAGCTTTCTGAGCTCAGTAGCTGTCATGGTAAAAATTTCAGGTGATAAGAGACACTGGGAAAGGCGGCCTTCCCCTCCCCCCCAACAGGTGTGAGATTAAAAGGGTTCTGAAATCTCACAATAATGGTAGGCATTGCCATTTCTGTACAATAGTGACATCTGTTCCACTGGTATAGGCCAGGCTAGCAAAACCACTTAAATCCTGCAGAATAAAGAGTCAGGGCTGGTACTGGTTACTTTTACTAGTTGGCCACCCACATTTTTTGTTCCATAAGGTGGCTCTTTTCCCAGAATTTTCTAAGTGGATACTCTGTCCTAAAGCTACAGGATTTAAAGTGGTTAAGTTTTAAAATATAGCTCTGGAATTACTAATAAGCGGTACAAGTTACTTTACTTTATAACTTAAATATATTGTATCATACTATATTATATTTCAATATGGTTTTGACATTTTGTTTAATAACTGTTAAGATTTCCAAACTTTTATAAAGTGGGCACTCTAACAACCATCACTTGGATAATCTTCCTATAGGGAATGGGACATCTCCCTCTTTCTCTCTCTTAATTGCGCATTTTCATGCGAAATGGAACTTCCCTTCATCTCCTCCCTCCTGTATTCCTTCTCCATCTTCTGTTCCAAATTCTCTGGGACAGACTTGTATGAGGTGGGGAAAGCTATTATGGCACTGGTCTGTCTATGTTATTATTGGATAGAGTGTGCCTTTTGTGACAACCCTTGTAATGAAATGAATATGCAGCTCTTGCTCATGTATTGCGTAGAAGTATAAGCCTCTTTTGTCAGACTAGCACTTAGTTTTCAGAAATGCAATGATCAAGTCTCACAATGGTTATGTATCCACTTGTTGTTGTTGTTTAGTCGTTAAGTCGTGTCCGACTCTTCGTGACCCCATGAACCATATTGCGCCAGGCCTTCCTGTCCTT